ATATTTTATACACCATCACAATTATGTGAAATATTTAGATGATAGTCACTTAAATAACATTTCAAACTCTTTCAATAAAATTATAGCCAGTCCTAAGATGAGGTTAAAAAAAATTAGATTGTGATAAGATCATCGACTAGTGAGGTCAACTGCACATGACCTTTAACATGTCAAGAAGAGTTTTGAAAATGTTTTTCAAAATGATAAATAGGTGTGGGGACTCCAATCAGAATCATAGTGTACTAGGAAGAGAGTTTAATCTTTTACTTCCCTACAATCATCTTGATGAAAATTGTTGCTTTTGGAGCTGCTATTAGACCAGGGATGACTGTTCCTGTAGGCATCAGCAGCTGGAGTTAACAGTAGTGGGCTGGGGGCATTTCACTTGGCCTTGCAGTGAGAAAGGGTTAACCTTCCATTGCAGCACACCATAGTCCTGTTTGAGCCCCCTGCACTCGCTATTTACAGTTCGAGAAGCATCCATATGACACTTCTAACATCACTACAGTTTGGCCCTCCGGCTGAAGACAGTGAGGAACAGAACTGAGATAACATAAATGTACTCACAAGAATGCCTTGTACCTACATCATCTGAATGACAGATTTATTATTATTATTATTATTATTATTATTATTATTATTATTATTTCCTACCTTTTCCCCTGACAGGAAACAAGGTAGCTTACATCTAAAACAGAAACAGCTAAAAACATGTAAAAAAGCAACCATTACAAAAATTAACAATAATAGAATACACACACACACACACACACACACACACACACACACAAAGTTCATAACAATAAAAACAGCACAGAACAGAACAGCCAGTCCCCAAAAGCCTATTGGAATACGAAATTCTTCACCTGCCAGCAAAGGACAACGAAGAAGAACCCATTTAATTTCTCTAGGAACACTACTATAACATGAAGACCAGCATCTTTTATTTTGATGAGAGAAGGTCCTAAAAGAAGGTGTTCTAACACAGGATTCCTGATGTCCTCTTCTGAATCCAATCATACCTACAAGCCTCCAAAGTCTGAGCCAGTTCCTAACTAGATCTTTTCATCCACCTACTGTCATTCCTAACTAACCCAAGACCTACTCATCACTTCTTTCCCCCTTACATTACTGGGGCAGGGGGTTGATTTCAGTTCAAGCATTCTAAACATTAGGTGTTGCAGTACTTACAATGTTGCGGTGAGCATGCACAGCCATGTCCATACATTCTGGCAATAAGAAGAAATCCAAGTTTCCATGGTTCCTACTGTCTGTGGACACGTGTGTTGAAGTTTGCAGCAGAACAACTCAAGTCTAACATGAGTTGTCTCTGCCTCCCTGGTAAGTTAGGGATTTGGCAGGGAGGGGCTCACATACAAAGCTGTCTCCTACTTTACAGAGGAGAGTCCTCTGTTTGAAGGTGTCCACTATGTGTCCGGTTCAAGTGAAAGACCCCTAAGGAAGTACAGGGGCTTAGAAGTTGCCCACCAGCTGTTAGTACCTGGACTGCAGACTGAGAAGAGACATGTCACCTGATCACAGTCTTCTCCACTATGGTGAGATATATTCTAACTCTATTTGAATTGTAGTTATTTTTTATGGATTGCTGCAATTGTGCTTCCACAACATACTTCCTCCTTCAATCCTCTCCCCTGCAGCCCCCAACACACCTTCAAAATTTGCTCCAGATGGTTGCAGGGCCCTTTGGACCAGATTTTTTGGGGGGAGGTGTGGGCATACAGGAGAAGAAGGGGAAAGGGGAAGTCCTGTTGTGTTAGCTGAATGCTGCTTATACAGCACCGGATACAACCCCTCTATGTTTGCGTGAGATCGTCCACTTGTGATAAAATCTTAGTAAAAGCCCCACAACTGTAAACCTCTGTTTCTCCAGAGATTCACCAAAGTCTGAGCCTGAACATGATTTTAAAGTACTATGACATACTTTTATTTGGCCTGCCTGTTAATGGCTGGGTTTAAATAGTCATTAGCAAAATCTGCCTCTGGTATTGTACTTCATTATTTACTTATTCCTGATTTTGATATTGTTTTCTCATCATGGGAAGGTGCTGGGCCTCTGGAGCCTAGACATTCAAATAAATATGAATGCACTTCTATATGAACGTGGATAAACACATCCACGGTGTGAGTTTTGTTGCCGTTATTATGCCTTATATAAAGAAGATATTGCACATGCAGGAGATTTACTTTTGCAAGGATGGCATGCGGGTTCCTGCTGAGAGAGAAGTTCATCACATTAATTTAAACCTCCAATAAAATAAATTAGTTTTTCATTGCCAGGTTGAACTATGTGGCTGTGATTGTAATGTATTGCTACAATCCAGGCCTTAACGGCATTTTAGCCCTGTGGTGGTCAAACAGAAACCATTTGAAGCCTTCTAAAGGCTATTAAAACATGTGCAGATGTCTGGAAAATTAATACTATTATCTGACTTTAACCTCTTGCCTGTAGGAGAGTCAAGGCTAGAAGAAGATAGATCAATACGTTACAATGGAAGAAAGTAACAAAGCTCTCTCCTGGCAAGTTCAGTAGCGATAAAACAGTGTCCCAAGAACATGCTATATTCGCTCTTCTAAAAGAGAATCCTTCTTGCTTGTTTTTTTTTTACCCGAAATCAGTCATTTACCTCTATTAAAAATCAAGGGAGATAAGCTCCATTTTCTACAATCTTTGCTTATTGCTGTTTCTCAAGGTTCAGAATGCCAGACACTGGAAAGGTTCATTCATTTACATGACAAGAACATGAATTTGTCAAGGTTAATGTTGAACAAGCCATATTTCGTTTTTCCCTTCTGATCTTTTGCATTTTGAAAGGCTCTTTTTGTATATCACTAAAATATCAGGTATGGAAGTAGAGGCGCAATAAGATCAAGATTACGGCAAAATGCCTTCATTACTACTTTCAAAGCCAGCATAACTTTCTAATATATAAAGAAATGTGCTTTCTCTGGGACTGCACAGATGTAATGAGTCTTGGACTAGTAAAATAGTTTTTACACTATTCAATTTTTGTAAAGGTTCTAGTGAAAAATCTGAATAGGAAAAGTGCAATAATGAAAACGTGTTCAAAAATAATTTGTTTTTGAGAGACTAGAATCCTGCTTCTCTCTAAAAATTCCAATATATGAGGGTGGGAACAATTTATGGCAATGAATGGGTATCTTTCAGATTTGCAGGAATATGGAATAAATGTTTTAATAAATAATCAGGATGAAAAGTAAGCTGCATTTTGAGTTCAGTTATGAAAAGGTTTTGCATTTAGAGTTGGAAGAGAGAGAATAGCAATCAGGAATGAATGATCAAGCTACAGCTTTATTAGCAGGTGTTTCAAATATGCAGTGGTTACGAGTGGTATTACTAACCTGGAAAACAATAGCCCCTTTCATATATTACTGGAACTGTGTGGTGTTTCCATTTTATAAAGCAGTAGCCCTCCTGATGTTTTTGGACTACAACTCTGCAGACTGTTGGCCATGCTGATATAATTTATGAACCACAAATCCTGCATGGCATCATTCTGGCTAACCCCCCCCCCCCCTCAAAAGGAGCTCAGAACCCTGGTTAAAACAAACTATGGTCTTAATGTGAGACAGCTCTCTATCACCTGGTGGCCACACTGCTTTGAACACCAAACCCCCTTGGATTATTAACATTTCTGTCTACCAGTTGGCCACATCACCCAAATGTGGGTTCATTACACCATTCATTTAGGAACCAAGCAAAAACATGCCTCTTCTCCAAGGCCTTTGGTTAAACAATCTATTGCCTTCTAAACTGTATTATTTTTGCTTGTTACTATGTTATGTATTCTTGTGTTTTTATACTGTAAACCACCCTGTGATCCTTGGATGACAGGAAGTTTAGAAATTTAATATGTGTTTACGTCTGGTTTAGAGAAGTGTATTTTGTTTAACTCTCTATGTTAGATTTATTATATTTGGACTTACATTTTAAGGAACCTATATTTTGTGGTGTGTTACATTAGAAATCTGTATCAAAGTCTTGAAAATCTATTTTGTGTTTATGTTTCTTGGGTCAACTAAGAAATGTCCATTGTTTCTTGGGCTATTTAAAAGAGCTCTATATAGAGCAAAACCTGTCTGGCCAACACTGTTATCTAAAATTTACCAGCCATTTCACCATAGAGAGGAGAATATTTACCATTTGTCCCTCAGGACATCAAGATTCTATGTAGCTACAGTACAAAACACTCTTCAATAACAAGGTCACACATTTTGTTGTGGTAATATGAGCTCTCATTGGAAAGATGGAAAATGCTGGCTAATAGTGGTGAGGCTGTTGTCAACAGTGCTAACATAATCTTGGAGTAAAACTTCCACAAACAGGAAGTAAGGGAGAAATTTAAACTGGAATTAAAAATTTACCGTAGATTCTGGCGTATTAGGCGACTGGGCGTATAAGACGACCCCCAAGTTTTGCTGTTCAATTTCAGAGTTTTAGAGTTATAGAGTTTGAGCGCTGCCAGGGGCAGAGCGCGCACCACTCCGCTGCCTCTGCCGTTGCTGCAGCAGCAGCACCCCGAGGCGAGGTGTTTGGCGGGCGGGCGAGCGCTACACTCGGAAGGACTTTCCGCATCCCCTTCTGTGGGGAGGGAGGAGGAGCGACGGCAGATACCTCTGCTCACTGGCTCCCTCTCCTCCTTCCCAACGCGTATACCTGGCGTATAAGACGACCCCCGACTTTTGGGGTGATTTTCCAGGGATAAAAAGTCATCTTGTACACTGGAACATACAGTATGTAAAACTATATGCAAGCTTTCCAGTCACAGATAACTTTTTTCAGAATTAAGAAAGGGTGGCATGTCCAGCTATACACAGTGTAAGATGTCCAAAAAGTTGTGGAACAATATTTGCTTGGGTGATTTGAGTGGATTCTAGCTGCCAAGTGTTCATAGAATCATAGAATGCGGAGTTGGAAGGGACCATCTAGTCCAATCCACTGCAATGCAGGAATATGCAGCTGTCCCATACAGGGATCAAACCTGCAACCTCAGTGTTATCAGCGCCAAACTCTAACCAACTGAGCTATCCACTTGGGTCTACCTTTAGTGCTCTGTTTACACAATTTGATATTTCTTTTCCCTAGCAACTATCTCTCTACTTGAATGACTGTAACTGAGAAAGAGCACATTAAGAAAAAAAGGGGGGAGCAGTAAGAGGAGTGAGCATGTGGGAAGGCTATCAGGGAGTAAGGGGAATTTGGAACAAAAGAAATGGTGGGTGGGGGAAAAGTTAACTGATCCCTTTACTCTCTGCCACTTCTTCACTGTAAATGCTTGCTTTGGAGGGTATTTCCATTAACCCCCCCCCATGTTAGGTCCTAAATTATATTACATTGCATATAATGTGTACCTAGTTTGTCTGTCCATAACCTTACTGGTTGCCTAATCCCAACATCTTGTCACCTCAATCATTTTTATATCCCTACCTGCTTCCTTCCTTCCTTCCTTCCTTCCTTCTCTCTCTCCGTGTGTGTGTGTGTGTGAGAGAGAGAGAGAGAGAGAAAATAATCAAATTATTTAGATGCTAAACTCTGAATCTGAAAGTAAAGCAAGTTCACACATACCAACTGCTGCTGAGGCTATATATAAACCAAATAAAATATAATCTAATTCCAATCAACTTTAAAAGTTTAGAACAGATGTAACCTCTTGGCAAAGAAAACACAAATGAGAGTAGAAATGTGTTTGTGACTCATTAAGTACCATTGTTATTAATGTGAGACATTATTGCCCTGGCCCTCAGGATTCCATACTTCAAGATCCAGGGAGCTTAATTCATAATGTTCATCATGCCCTTGTACTCCCATGCAAGACACAGACAAATCACCACTTCTCCTTGTGTCCTGACATAGGTGAGTGACTAATGAAACATGGCTTGCTCAAGTTCAGAGACAGAAAATGAATATGAATGCCCAAACACTGTCCTGCTAAAAATATTCTCAGTTAAGTCTGTCAATATCATGTTGCCAAGGTTTAACAATGAAGGTTAATGCTGTCTTCCTGCTCAGGCTCATCAAGTATGAAGGCCCAGTAGAAATGTACGAGTTAAAGAACTGATGGCCTATTTGGTTACACAGAGCATTTGTGTGTTGATTTTATCTTGCCGTACAGTATTTCACATCCTCAGCAAAGTCAGCAGAGATTTTAGTCAATAGTATCAGAGCTTTTGGCACTGGACCCAAATTCTACCAAACAACAAAAGAGGTAAGCTCACATGAAGGGAGTGAGGAGACCCATGGGTAGAATTCAATGCAAAAAAAAAGAGGTGATGCAGAAATTATCCAACAGCTCCCACCCTGCCTGTTGGGACACTTAATGCAATTTGTCTGCCAAGGCATATAAGAGGTATAATTTGTAACCTCTAGCAAATTACAGAGTTGATAAAAATCTAAATGCCTCAGAATGCAATGCGTTGTGGTATATACTGGACATTTCAGATAGTACAGGAATAGTTTAATGCTGCTTTATGTCCCAAATTCTGCCACTTCGTGATGTAAAAATGGCTCCAGAACAGCGAAACACTCATAGCTGTACAGTAAGCGAACGTATTAACGATTAACTTTGTCTCATTCACTGTAATGATGCTACAAGCAATTAAAGCCATTAGCACTAAACCTATATATCACACGTGTGTGACGGTGATACAACATGGTTCCAATAGATGGGCCAACATCTGGTTACAGATGTGATAGGACTGAAGAGCTTGAAAGCTTGTTTCAGCTACCAACAGATGTTAGGTCCATAAAATATATTAACTGACCTACACCGTAGCTCTCATCTCCTGGAACAAAGACAGCTGCAACTACTGCAGCCTCATACAAACTCAGCTGCCTATAATCATACGAGCTGTCATCCTATATTTAAATGTTAGGCTAAACATTAGCCTAAATGTTAATAGAAATGGCTGAAATTCTAGCCTTCTTCAAATTTCAGCTTTATCACAAAGAGCAGAAAACCTCTAAATCTTTGAATCATTTAATTTTATGCATTCTTTTTGGTATTTCATTTGGGAGTTATGGAGTGTGTAATATGCACCATGATGAGAAAACAATTATCTCACACACCTGCTGTTTATGCATATTATATTTAAGAAGAGTCCTGCAGTGGCTATTACTTTACCTACTGCAAAATTTCAACCAAGGGAATGAAACTGATCCAAAGAGATAGAATCACACTTTTACATGTAATTTGCAGTCAGTATTTTACCTGCCATGATTATGGTGAAATGATTTCTGTTTTAATACCAAACTCATTTTTACAACCCTGAACCTGAACAACAACAACAACAATAACATAATAGTAATAATAATAATAATGAAAAAGGTCTGGGACTAAATATAGACTACAGATGTTGTATAATGAAAAAGAGGGATAACTGCACATAGACCATGGGAGCAGAGGGAAGGCATCAACTGTGATATATTTACTACCTCTATTAAATCTTTGGTTCTGTCCTTGCCATAAAACCAATGATGATAAATCATTTCACTTTCTAGGTTACATTTATTATATAAAAAAGGTTTCAATGCAACTGTTTCTGTGAACCTTCTGTGAACCTGAACAAAGCAAAAGCAAAAGAGAACGAAAGGTAAATACTCTGCTTTTCATTTCATTAAAATATTTCACTCTAGCTATAAAGAGCTAAGTCAGCAGCATCCTCTCAAGGGATGAGGAAAGGGTTTGGAGCTGGCTATGAAAACAACAGAAAAACAAACAGAGCTCAAATACTTTTTATGAAATTTAGAGCCGAAAATACAGACTCCCTTTAGACAACTTCAGCTTACTTCTTGACCATTTGCACAGGGATTTAGATGAGAAGGTGACATCTTACTCCTGTGTTCTGTAAACATAGCAGGTTGAAATACCAAACAGCCCTCTTGTCAAAAAGACAATTCTCTTTCAGTACAACATACTTTTTAAACTTTTGTATATTGCATATTATTATTATTATTAGTAGTAGTAGTAGTATTTTGGTATATTTTAATGTAAAGACATGTTTTGGTTGACACTCTTCCTCAGTATTGTATTAGTGTATATATTCTCTTTTCTGTGGTTGACATGATCATGACTGTCAAAACAACAACAATAAGCAAAATATGAGTATAACAATAAAAAGTTTTTTGTATTTATTTATATGCACACTCTTTCTCATATACACATATAGTGATAAGAATTTGAATTGTAAATTGTATGGAAAGTGACTTTGAGAGTACCATTACTTTTTATCCCACTCCTAAGGGAATCTCCACACATAAGCAGAATTCTACCCATGTATCACATTGCAAAATAGACTATGCAAGTGTAAATTGGATCCACTGGATTGTTTTCGATGTAATCATTATTACTACTTTATTGCCCATCCTTCACCATCAGGCCCATCCATATTCTGCTATAACCAATACTTCACAAATACTGTTATAAACTCAAAGAACTAGATTGAACCTAACAAACTTTAGTTTGAAAATGGTTTTTAAAAAATACTATTAATGGTTAACTTTACTGATATTTTACACTGTTATTCATAGACAGACAAATGATTCTATGAAATCTATCTAGATGCATTGAACTTGCTAAGAGGCATACCAAAGTTTTAGAAACCATCCACATAATCAAAAAGCCTGAAGTTGGGAACATACAATTACACTCCAGTTTCCTTCATATGTTACACACATGCAAAATACATGAGCAAAAGGTCCATGTGCTTACTAGCACTGCCCCAAAGCAGCATTCCTCCAGTCCTTACTGTTGCCAAGCTGGGCATCATTTCCGCAGTGGGCAGCCTTCCTTACCGGTGGAGGCTCTGTGGGTTCCAAAATGCACTGGAGCCCGAACACCTAAAGAAGTATTCCCACTGCAGTGTGATCAACATGGTGATGGTAGGGGCAGAAGGAGCAACTCATGTTTGAGGTACAGCAAAATTCACGGCCCCGCAACCCTTTTTCACGACACTCCCCCTTTACACAGAAGGAACATGTGAAGAGGGCTTCTTGCTACTATGAAAGTATCTTGTTCATGCTTTCTGAGTTCTATAAAATGCAAAACCCTAAAGACATAATGTGCCCACATCTCTTTCTTAAAATACCACCCCAACCTCTGAGCGGTGTGAGATTCCAGGGGTCCAGGTGCTTATGAAGGGTTTGTGTTTCCTTTAGGATATATGGTTTATGGTTTATGGTTTATGTACACATATATACAACCTAAGCCTATGATGGAGGGGTTCAAAGCATTACACTCTGAGAGGGCTCTGTTTCTCCCATTGCGGCTGCCTCGGATTCAAAAAGTCAGCCTACCTTGTTCTCTGATGCCGCCTCTCCAGTTTGCTGCTGCTTGCAAACAGCCACTATTCTTCCTTCCAGCTTACATCATTGCCAACTCCGATCCTGAAACTCCCTCCTAAAAAAACCCCCAGCATTATCTTCTGACTAATGATATCAGAGCTCAGGGTGGAGCTCTCCCCATTTGTTGTCTGCCACAGTCTTTGCTTTGTTGATAGCCTATATTCCTGTCTTTGTTTTCTGCTAATGACCCATATTTCGGGCGGTCATTTGAACACAGGGAGCTGAGTCTGATTTCCAGTTTAACTTTCCAACACTGATTAAATTCTAACACTTACAAAATCCAGGAACTGTAGTAACATATGAGAGTGCTGGAGGTGAAATAGTTAAACAGGTTGTCCAATCAGAACCCAGGGGGGTGAAGTCAGAGGGACTATAAAACCAGCTCTGGGAGGAGCGAAGAGAGGGAGTTCGTTGGGAGTTGGGTGGTTGGTTGGAGTGGGAGTGAATTGGGATAGAGTCTGTGGGTAGGTGGAGTTAGTGTAGCGAAATAAGCTGAGTCAGGAAGAGTTAGGAGCTAGGAAGACAAGTAAATATCTGAGAGGTGGTTTAGTAAGTGAGAGCAGATAGCAGAAGTTATAGGTCTGGATAGGCACTCCATGACTGTAATTGACTGAGACTGTTTATGAAACCACATGCTTGTTAAACTGCAATAAATAAACAGAGGTTTATGTTCCAATTTAACCCTGACTAG